AGTGATAACAATATTCTCATCATGAAATTATCTCTTCCCATTTCTTATATTTCCGCCCATAATATCCAACATAACATATACAAAGACCATTATTATATCTTTTTACACAATGCCTACAAGATTTGTGAAAAGTGAAGCTAACAGTTTAGAAATACACATTTTATGAAGAACAGGAATATACCACAATTGAATAATACAAGTTTATTTCTTACCTTTTAAGGAAGACAATAAATTAAAGAAAGCTGATGAATGGGATGCGTGGCAAAACAAAGTGAGGAGCAACTCCTGGTATCCCACCTGGTGTTGTTAGATTTAGTTGTTGGGTGAGGCCACTCTCGCAGGTGGGGGTAGCTAATCAACTAACGGAGGGACTGTGGGGGCTAGAAATATACTTCATGTAATACATGGCAGTCAAAGAAATACAGAATAGGGGGTATTCTGTGGAGCTCCACACATGTACTTATACGCTTTCACGGTTTTATCAAACTGTAGCGCAAATGGATTTTGATATGCCATTTTCAAACTAAAATTGCTCGGTAAAGCTTGTATAGATCAGAGTATCTTTTGACAGTGTTATAACCTCTACATAATGAAAAGCAAGGAATTATGTCGGGCGGGTCTCCAGATGGTGGCTAAGCAGGGTGACCAGAATTTTGAATTCGATCAGTTCGACGTCACTGGATGCCTAATTTATTGTGCTAGTGGTGGTGGCAGATTGCGATCTAGTCAGTTGATGTCACTCTCGACCTACTGTCCTCTCAATATAATAGTCTATTTTCGTAATGTTATCAAATGTAATGCACAGATCTTTGTTTAGTGCCAAATTGCAAAGTGCAAATTATTTCATTCACCTGTTATATGAATAATTGCATTTCAAAAGTCAGAATATGAAGGTAGGACAAACATTTTGGCTGGTCCTAGCTAACACGTAATGTGTGAAATTCGTATTCTGACTAGTGAAATACAATTATTCATAACAGCTGAATGAAATAATTAATAAAATGGCACAGATGGCACGTAACAAATATTTATGCATTGGTTACATTACGAAAATGGCTTTTCTCAATGATCGGTTCGCAGATATATTTATCTGGGTTTTGTGCCAGCCTTTGCCGTAAATCAGGCTATGCATGCTATCAGCTGCAGGGTCCTACTCGGATAGCACTGTAAATTTGCATAATTATTTAAGATGAATGCTCTAATTCAAAGCTGATGGGACAGTTGATCATTCGTCGTGGAGTCTTGGGTAGCTAGCTAGGGTTTTCGATCCATGCGTTTATTCCGATTAGTGATTTAATTGTATTATAATATTTGTCCTTTGAGCCTCTATCTCTTGCGCTCGCCGGTTGCATCCTGACTGTGCTGGTTCAGAGTTTTTGTTATCCTCCAATTCTCCTTCTCTCAATACCTTTCCGTATTGTTTTATGATTTTTACTCTGATCTCAGTATCAGACATCATTTAATTATGCATTGTAACTTGTGCATCCATGAAATTTTGTATTTTGGGTTGTATATGTATTTAAAATGTTCTTAATGATATCACAGAGACGTTACCGATTCAGGCAATTTGGATTGCCCATACCTATATTGATTACATGCAACTTTCATTAATTGTTTTGTCCGATTCCATTCAAACTTTCACCATATGGCATATCACATTTGCAGGTCTACTAACAAAAGGATACTGATCAATATTAATATCTAATTTGGCTTCCCACCAAAGAACGCACTGAATATAAACTGGCACTTTTCGTATACAAATGCTTGATGAATACAACTCCTCGGTATCTCTCTGACTCCTACATTTTCCAAATATCATCTTCGTTCACAAAACAATAAAATATTTCTTTAATCCTACGCACATGCAAACACCAAGACAACCGAACGCTCATTCTCATACACAGGACTGGCTATCTGAAATGCTCCAACACAACATCTCCGCCTATATTAAAGCCCCACTGTCCTACTTGTAGCTACTTGCTCCCTCTATATAGAAAACTTCCCCAATCGGTGCCTGTTGGTCCCCCATGATCGTCTTTTTCTTATGTTAGTTGAGAGCTGAGTTAATGATATAGCCACCTGTCAGTGACCTTGCTGTGTGGTCTAATCCCCTCTGGCCCAGTAGTATTGGCGGTCTTAAATACAGAAGAAACTTTAAAAAGAAACTCAACCCAACTCATCCCATCGTAATTAATTTATTATCATATTGCTACTGTGAGTCAGAGAGGCATTAACTCCATATCAAATATTATCAAGGCCTTTTTGGCTCTGAACAGGAGAGGTGATGTCTGATGTCAATTGCTATTAATTATATCCTCATCTTTTATAACATTGTTATGACTGCTATTAAGAGCTATGGGTATATTTGTTATTGTTCCAAATACAATGTTTATTTTTTTTTGTTTTTTTTTGTTGTATCAGGGCTCTGATCAGTGTTCTGTAAAAGTGCTTACTTAGAAACAATTACATCATTATGAATAATTACGAGGTGGTCGAAAAATTTGAAGCATAGGCCTACCTAATCCATGCCCTTCACTTACCATTCTACAATAACAAAATTCACAGCCCGACCCTCACTTCTAACAGTGATGAAATACTAGGTGATAGTGAAAAAAGGAAAAATAAATCATCTTTTTCGTCATCATCATCATCATCATCACCATGATCCATAACCCATAGTCCCATTAAAAGTCTCAGTGGTAAAGCAGCGTTCTCGTCACTGGTTCATTACTAACAACACACTCATGCTTTCTTAGCAGTCAGGTAAAACAATCATCAAACAATCAATTTCTTTGTAATGCAGAATATTAACTGTGGAGCAATTATCAATGAAACATGGGACAAAAGACATATTAGAATAGATATTGAAATAAATGAAGCTACATGTATTCACAACATTATGAACTGTGAGCCAATCATATATTTTTATTCCTACATATTTACTGAGAAAGTGACATCTTTTTTCACCCAAATACATGTAGGCCTACATTGATTTAATCTTGGGAAAATTATACCTGATTTTATGGAAGGCTTCATCGTCTAAAAAGAAGAACAGTATGTTATGTATTTTACTTTCTTCTTTAAAAAGCACCAATAAGTCACAAACCCAGCAACAAAGCAAATTGCAAATAAGACAAATGTGAGTGCATCTCCATTATGCCTTCACCTTAATTCAGTTAAGGGAAACAAAATCCTGGATTTAGCTCATGCTATCAAGATATTTATGATTGGAATTCGAAATTTCAAAAACCATTATCCCAATAGTTTTTATTACACTGAAGTCTACTGGGGAAAATGAGTACCATATGGTAAAACAGGTCACTCAAAGAATTTTACTTTTTTGAGGCACTTCATGATCATTTTGAAGCGCAATTTTCTTAGGGCTTCAATATTACATCATATCCCAGACACTGATAACACATAGGGCTATGCATCTCAGATTTGGCATTGTTAAACAATGCCTTAAACCCTATGTTAACGGGGGGGGGGGGGGGGGTCAATTTGACCCCTCCCCCCCCCCCCTGTAGTAATTCCGCGACTACTCCAAAACCACGGCAGATATAACGTTTTCCTTTCATGATTTTTTTTTCTTTCCAAGTCTTACGCATCTTTTAAAACATTTTTTTTGAAAATCGGACGTAAAGTTAAAAAGTCATGTGACCTTTTTTCTTTGCATGTCAGCCCGAAAATCGCTCATTTTTGTGATTTGTGTACAAAACATATGGAAATATCATTTTTCCTAAAAAGAGATAAAACATCGGTTATTTGGTCTTGTTTAAAGTTTAGGTGTTTATTTTGGGGCCAAAATAGTTGAATTGTAGTTAGAAGTGAAATAAAACAACAAAAACAATGAAATACATAAGAAATTATCAAAACAAGAAATAACATGAGAAATAACCTGGCTCTTCCAATTTGTTATGTCGTATTATTATTCCAAATGGTCTAACAAACATATGTAGTGAAAAATAACGCTTAAATATGAATAATAAAATATTAAAAATATGAATTCTATGACCTATTTGCATAAATTACCATAAATATGCAAATGAGTGAATTTTTCAACAAAATTGAAATTACCATAGTACTCTGTACACTTCACTTGACATGCATGCAAATTTTTGCGGCGATCGGCTATGAAACGGTAGAGATCTTAGTAGTAAAAACCTGGACCCGTTGCATAAAACTTACCATTGATGGTAACTTTGCCATCAAAGCAACTACCATGGTAACAGGGCGCAACAGCCAATCAAAATCAATGTTTCCATGGTAGTTACCATTGATGGCAAAGTTACCATCAATGGTAGGTTTTATGCAACAGGCCCCAGGTCTGAAATAGCCCGGTTAAAATAGGGTTAAGCACATGGCTTATTCTTGGAATTCTTGGAATATCAAGATGAGACGAAAATCCTATACTTAAATGTTAATTGATCTTTACAACCTTTGACCCGAATCGTTCTTGAGACATTACTATAACAGGGCTAAAACCCGAGATTTTCAAGGAAATTGACATTTATGACAATTGACCTTTCACCTATTTAACCAAAAATCTAATCACATTTGTCTTCCTTTGGTGATACATACTCACACCAAGTTTGAAGCTCATACCTCAAGTGGTTCTTGACATATCAAAATGAGGATGAAATCTACAATTTCTGATATTGACCTTTGACCTACTTAATCCAAGATCTAACCAGATTATTTTTCTCCGGCACCATCTATGGTAGGCTCATCCATATTAAACAAAAATGGGTAGATAGGATTATTTAGGTTGAAATTATCCCTTTCCTGTTACCATATCTCAAATAGTGCATTTTTTTCTCTCTGAAAAGGTCATATTTGATTATTGTAACATGAAACTTTTGGGGACTGAAGGGTAATAGAAAAATTGTAGGCCAAATTATTGTCTTCCAATAAATATTAAATGATAAAGGGGCAATAAAAAGTACATTAAATTTCTCCTGAATTAATAAAAGAATAAATAAACAAATAAATTTTATAAATACTTAAATCAATCAGTAATTTTTTTTTTATTTTAAAAGTTAACAAAATAACATCTATTTTCTCGTTGCTATTGTCATACAATTTCATTTCTCTTCTGTTTGTTTGCTTATTTCTTAATTTCTGTAGAAACATCATTTTTGTTTTCTTTCTTCTAAAACACATACAATCCAGCCCAACCCTAAACACTGGTGACCCAAATTTCCCCATCATCATCATCATCTGATATTTTCAGCATTGCTCTTCCTAAGTCTGACAATGACAATGCTGTTCTTTGCTTCTTTGAGACGCCACCAGCGGCCCAGGCGATGCTCCTGCCCTACACCGGCTACAAGAAATGTCCCATCACTGGAAAATTGCATTGCATTTACAAAGCCCTCCTGAAAGAAAAAAAAACATAACAAATCAATTTGCTAGCAAGCACTTTGTAACTGGAAGCTTTGCAAACAGAAACTTTGGAAGAGTCAATGTGATCCTCACTGATTGGGCCCTCGACACCTAGCAGTCTGTATTGTGGCCTAAGGTTGCCTACACAATCCATTAATGATAATCCCTTTCCCCTGACCATGTCATGTTTCATTTACTTTAAGTGTACCAATCACTGTTACATGTTTTGCTCTTGATAGAAGGAGTTCCATGTGGCTATATCGTTTTCAAAATATGAGCTTCAATCTATACTTGAGGTTTTATGTTATCTTTTATATTTTCATACTCCATAACTGTTTACCAACAGAGTAATGAAGTGCTAACATCATATTCGCTTGGCGTCCAGGTTACTGGTTCTAAACAACAGAGCCTGCACACGAGGTTCACAGCAAAATCATTCAAGCAAAAGGCTGGAGCAGGGCGAAGGGGTCGGTGTGATCACCAACACCTTTATTTAGCAAAAATTTGTTTGAAACCGGCAACCTTGACAACTTGTCCAGTATGATGTCACACTTTGGTACTCTATAGAATGCCAGGTTAAGATTTTTGAGGTTGATTTTATACATTCTAGCTACACACAAATTATTTTACGGTGATTGGTACCTACACATAAATCAGTCAATTGCTTCTTTTTTTTAAACATAAAAAGGATGAATGCTAGCTTTTGGCACCCCCATATTTAGCACCACAATAAATATGAGGATAGTTTTTTGGCCCTGAGCTTTCATGACTTTATTGCCTAGTCTCAAGTATCTTTTGATGCCATCTTTATAAAATTTGGACCAAGAGGTACTGCACAGCATCAAAAATCATCACGCTGTAAGTGGCCACAATTAACACTTCCCGTATGTATTGTACACAATTAAAAATTGTCAATTATTAGATATGTGACTAGTTAATTAAGCAATAATTCAAAATATTTGAGATATATAGATATGAAACGTCATGGGTTATATTCTATACGGAATACAAGATCTGTATGCCATGTTTCAGACTTTTTTGTTGTTCCTCAGTGGCTGAAATCCCGGGAGGGGGTGGAGGTGGAATACACCACACCCCCTCTGCTAATAGAGCACCAAAATAACCTAGCCATTTTAGGATAACATATAATTTCTGTTGTTTTCAATATACTGCCTTAAAGATAAAGACCAGTTATGGTTGTGCGATTGCATTGGGTAAGAAACGTTGTGGAATCCATCAGAAAAGGTTGATCATCTAGCATATAAGTATTGGTGTGTACTGCAAGGTTCTGGAATCATCAAAATGATAAGAAATTTGGCCCAGTCTTGATAAAGTTACAAGCACTGTACACACAGAAAGATGTATACGGGACTACCCCCCCCCCCCAACACACGTGCGTGACAGGTGCGTTATATCTATCAGGTCCAAATAGATATAATAATTTACCAAATATATCAATTAGTGGGAGGTTTCTCTGCAAAATTGTATGATCACGTATTAGTCAAAACATATTCTTTCACATGATTGGTAATAAGAGCTTCCATTTCATTTTTTGACAGGGGGCCATTTCCAAAACTGGTCTTTACCTTTAATAAACCATTATGTAAACTTATTTATATTCTTTGTACATTTGTAAAATATGAGCAACACAAACTTCCAATATTGGACAATAAATTGAAATTGAAATGAAATTATATATTTGATTTGCTTACCATTGTGACCTGGAAAGTTGGAGACAGTGTCTTGTAGCCCTCGGAGCACTGCCAGAATCTAATGGTCCCATCTTTGGATCCTGCTGAGACAAACATAGTCACTTTTATTTCAGTTCATCATCCCTAACAAACCATCCACAGTCAAAAGTATCATTAACAATGTCAGATATAAGTTCATCATTTTCACATCACTCTGAAGCAGAAATACAACTATTATCCATGCAATATTATGCATTTACACAATAATTAGAAGTATTTTTGAAGGTACAGGGTGGGGATCATGTGCATCTTTTTCAACTCCAATGCTAAATATCGACCATTGTGTATTTAAGTATACATGATATAAGCTATTCTCAGTGGGTCAACTGCAAATCATCTTGTTTTTATTAGAGATTGCCATGTTGTGAAAGTACCACAATGCAACACAATGCCGCACTTCTTTGTTTTAACAGACTCTGCTCATAAACTAACAGTACACAATACATAATAAGAAAATGAATACATGTATTCAAATATGATTAACAATCTGTGAAACCGGTATTCAAAGAAAGCCCATGGAAGACAATAAAGGGGTCTCAATAAGCTTGTCATCTTTACAGGTTCCTTTAATACATGTTTCCATTAAAAACTGTTTTCAAGGCCGATTTTAAAATAATGTGGCCTTTATTGACAGGTGGTCTTTAAATACAAGAGGTCAATAAAGCAGGTTTGACTGTATTTGCATATTCACAACACTAACCAGTGTCCATCTGAGATTACTCACCTGATGCTACAAGGTCGGTTCCTTGCAAGGCTGCAACACATGATATCCAGTTCTCTTTGGTATTGCTTCCCTCAGATGTCCCAACCGGTCCAGGGTGAGCATTCCGTGTTATGCTCAAAGGTTTCTTCTTCATGACACTCCACACAGCAATGGACCTGGTAAGAAAGAACCATACGCATATGAAATGGAAATGATGAACATGTACAGGCAAACCTGTCTATTGAGACCACCTGAGAAAAACATAGAAAGTGCCCACTGTAGACAGGTAACCTTTCTAGACAGTTTCAACAACGTTTCTTTCTTGAGGGGGATAAAACACATGTTTTTGTATCTTATAACAGAGAGCTCAGTGCCAACATGAAATCCTTAGTGCACAGTTGCCATTCATTTACAGTTTAAAAAAAAACACTGTTAACTTTTTAACCATAGAAGTCTTTATCCCAATCAATGGAAATGTTATTAAAATACTAACATCCATATAACTCCATTATCACAGCTAATCTGTGCACTGTCTCCTGTACAACATGTCTTTTCAACATTCATTTAATCCAAAAATTAAAAATCTTTGATTAACGATGGTGGTTATTGGAGAATGAACTGTTCGTCAATAGTCCTTTCAAGTAGACATACATCAAACAAGACACATTGCACAGGATCACTAATTACATGATTACGTTATTTTTATTATATTACTTCTGATTACTGATGTAAGAAAGATCTAAGGACACTGACTTACCCATCTTCTGAGCCAGAGATGAAATGATCTTCATTGATAAGTTTGACACAGTCGATGGATCCTCTGTCAAAAAACAAAAATACTAGCATTTAACAAATATGACAAGATATGTGAACTTGGTAGTGACTCACAAAATATGAATAAATCTCATGGAGAATAACAAAACACATGAAAATATATGTTGAAATGTTGAGTCCTGCCCACAACATTAATTAATACTATAAGATAACACTAATAAAACAGCAACCAATCCAAGAATGCTCAAGGTACCTACACAAGTACAATTATTACACTGACTTTAGTCCTGCTATCCAAAGGCTCTGAAAGGATTCATTAAGGAAAAAGTTCCTACCAGGTATTCATTCACTACACCTGGGTGGAGAGTGGCAAATGTAGATAACTACCTTGCTGCAGGACTTCGGTGCTGGACTGGGACTCAAATGGCAAACCACATTATTGAAAGTCCAGTGATGTATCCACTATACCACACTCCCAATAACCTTACACTTTACCAGGTAAATAAATGAAAAGGTGTAAATAACAGCTTGTTCAGATACGACGCAGCAAATCCAATGCAGTTTTTTATGACGTCCATATATACAGTGTAATATGATTCACATATCTGTATCTTATAACACAGAGCTCAGTTAATACCTGCATGCCCTTTGTTTGGCGCAGTCGTCATTCATTTACCCCCCCTCCCCCCTCAACAAAAAAATGTGGCAGTTTACCACGCCATATCTGACAAGCCTTAAAGAAGTTCCTTGTTCATGACTTAACTTACTATTCCTTTAATTTATATTGTAAAGTGTATGATTAATATAAATAAATATATGTCATCAAAATATATGGTAAATGTACATGACTTTCTTACATTCTATATATTTTCATATCATATATGGTACACATTCATTTTTGCAATATATCACCTGTTTGGAGCCAGAAGGGTGTTAACTCTGTGCAAAATCATAAGGTAATGCCCTTCTCGCTCTAAACAGACAACTTCACATATGGCTTTATCACATAAGGTACTTTTTAAATTTATTTCATTTCATTTTAAGAAGCAAATTAACGTTGCTAAAAAGGAGAGGTAATGACAACAAACTTACGAGTGGCCGTTAAAGATAAGCTGGGATTCTTCTAGAACCTTCCATACCCTGATAGAGTTGTCTCTCCCTCCTGATGTAATGGAACGGTCCCTTGTCAAGCTATCAATACCTGTTATAGCATCTTGATGTCCAAATCTGAGGTCATGCGGAAAAACAGGCAAATAATATTTGTTATACAACACCTATGTGGATCCTTGTCATTTGATTGGAGGATTGTCGGTCACATGATATTCAATAGATGTTCTATTGCACGGTCCCTTGTCAAGCTATCAATACCTTTTATTGCATCTTGATGTCTAAATCTGAGGTCATGCGGAAAAACAGGCAAATAATATTTGTTATGCTTTAGTTTGTTGAGCTCTGATTGTGGATACTGGATAGTATTAGGAATCTGACCATTTGCATATTTAAATTGATAATTATTAAAATGAATTTGTTATTCTTCTTTTTTTTCTTCTTTCAGTCATGATACCACTCGTTAACCTACATCAGTTCACATTTCACAGATATTCCACTGAAATCTTAATAACTATACTGGAGGAATTAAGAAGGTCAAGTTCGGTCGGGGTGAAAAGTAATATTATGCCTCCGCCATAGAGCCACTTTACAAACCAAAACAGAAGAAATTTTTGAAAATTGGAGTTTGATTGTAATCCATTATAAACAGGTTCTCAGAATATCTTGATAACAAACTATTTTTCAAATACATGCAAGACCCTTTGATCTTTGACCTCATGACCCTAAAATTTAATCAATTCATTGGCTCTGCAAAATACATACCTGTCTTGAGTTTGATGGCATTCTATCCATCGGTTCTAATAATAATCAGAGCTACCAAGTATCACGCATTAAGCATGACCTCTCGCATTTTGAGGGTCTGAAAATGCTCTTACGCACGATGCGCGCGCTAGATTTTGAAAAAACGCTATACCTTATACGTGTGTTATACCCTAACACGCGCACTTGCGCGCCAAATCATTAAAATTTCACGCATTGCCGATCTTTGAACTTGGCGTCTCTGGATAATGCGATCACAAGCTATTTTTGCATATATACTGAGCCCCATGACCTTTGACCTTGTGACCCCCAAATCTAATCAGTTCATTGGCTCTGCAAGATACGTACATGACCGAAGTTTAACAGGAATCCATCAATCTGTTCTTGAGACAACACCATTACGAGAACGGGACGTACGGACGGACAACCCGAAAAACATAATGCCTCTGGCTATTTTGTAGCGGAGGCATAATAATTCAGAGTTTGGACCATACTTGCAGGGCACATATGCGTGTATCGTGTAGTCCCATGAACCTAATTCTGTGTGTGGTGCCTTTCACTGTGCGAGGTTTTTAGCGAGCTTGTGTCATTGTCTCATCATATAATTCTAAAACCTCACATTATACACCAATGCTTAATACGTACTACATAATTCACCTCACCAAATAATTTCTTTAGTGTCTTTCAAAATGTAAAAACATGATTGGAACTCCGCTATATTTTTCATAGTGTGCTAATCACCAAATATAATTTGCTTTGTAAGTTGAGGATTCTATGTCAGAGAATTCCAAATATAAGCTTTAAATGTCATTTGTATGAAGAGGTATTACAAATCAAATACACAAACAAGAAATGATAAAAGGACATGTGAGTAGACTAATCAACACACACGTACGTACTGGCATAGAATAGGCCCCACAGGCCCCTCCATGTGCAGGTATGTATTTCATTTCTTTTTCTTTCTGTTATGTTCTTCATACTCCTTATCCATTACCCAATAAAATGCAGAGTAGAGTATTTTTCAGGTTGATTTTATACATCATGGCTGTACACAAATAGGTGATTGGTACACACAAAAGATTTGCCCTGGAGGGCTCTTCCAAACAAGAAAATAAGATGTCTTCTTGGTGTTGACTCACAGTGTTTCTACATAAGCCATCTCATCCAGATTCCAAATCTTCACCGACCGGTCATGTGATGCACTGAATAGCTGATGGGTGCCCTTACGGAAAGCTAGGCCCTGTGCAAAATGAGATATGATGCTGAGCAATACGAGAGAGAGGTACTAACAAAATAGGAGGAATAACTCAATTAATAGCACATTCGGGCATGACTCAGAATACTTGATTGAGCATGAACCTAAAGTTCCACTGAGGCTAAGCCAACGTAGGACCCTCTGACTAGCCAAATTGCATCATTCATACTATTTCATAGTTTTTCTCAATCTACTATACATATATTTCAAACAGAAACAGGACACCTTTTGAATTAACTGAATACATAATCCAGACAGTTTGTGAAAACAATAAAAACAAACATTTCATTTTCTAGCCTACATTCCATCTCGATAATAATTAACCCTGAAATAGCATAAACTGTAAAAAAAACTTTATAAATGGATGCAAGATTACAACATAATGTATCTGTATTGTCAGAATAAACATTTTTATGGCCATCTCTGATAATTTATTGAGGGCAGGCACAACAGTATAGAACTTCTTCTTTACTATATTATGAAAAAAGAGGAAAAAATCATATTGGGGAGATTACTCATGTGGGTCTAGTTTAGAAAGGGGGGGATATACATTTCAATGACTTACTGATATAGCATCCCGATGACCTTTGAATGTGTGTTTGAGACCACATGTTTGAGGATCCCATACATGGATCAACTTGTTTCTGCATCCAGACACCTAAATCATAATAAAGAAAATGGGATGGGGGAGGTTATTTATGATGTAAAAATTGATGGGTTAACAGCTGTAGGAAAATGTAAAATGATTGCATTCCTAGTGGCAATTATAATAATAATAATAACAATAGATCACATTTATAACGTGCCTAATACATTGTTTCTAGGTGCAGTGGTGCTGTTGTCCCAGCAGACATTAAGTGAAGCAATGTCCTTACACAAAATAAAGCTGGGACGACAGTACCACGAATACACAATATTATTCAGTACAAAATGACAGTATGTTACTTACGCTATGTTACGTTACAAAATCAAAATTACAGTATGTTACAAATAAATGAATAAATCAACTTAATCTAACTTACATTGTGATAAAGATGACTCATTTCATAACAAATAGTAGTACGACATCATTTATTTATTTGACATGTTAGAGAAGACAAAATTCATGGTATGGATTTGAACAGATGGGTTTTTAACATTACTTTGCTGTTGTCGGACGGGAGGCTATTCCACAACTGGCAATTATGTTTGTTGTAAGTAAGATTCATAAACTTGCCTTATCACAATTGTATGAATTTATAAATATATCAACAGCAAACTCTGATTCACTGTCAGATTTGTATGCAAAATTTCAGACTTGATTTACCCATGCGAGACACCTCCTAAATAGAATTTATGTTCATTTTTATCCATTCTTGTAATTATCAACAATTGATGCCAGTGTATCATTGAGGCGACCATCAAAAGTGATTTTCTTTGTACATTTTGTTAAATGCATTAAGAAAATGGCGCACTTTCAGAAGATAAGTACATGAATCAATGACTTTCAAACTCGTCTGCATAGCTCTAACCCTTCTCAGGAGCTCCATGCTTCCCTTTACTCAACTTTACTATATTTCATTTTCAGAGGACTTTCAAAAAAAGGTTTTGATCAGAAAAACCCTTTATTTTTCTTGTTGGGATTGATGTCTCAATGAGGGAAGGGCACTTACTAAGAGAGTGTCATCTGAGGAGATAGCCAGAGCTAGAATATGAGCTGTATGTCCTATGTGCTTGTCCTCCGTTCCTTTCCTTCCACCTGGAATCTTATGTTCTTTCTTCCCAGTTGCAGCGTTCCCTTTCAAAAAAAAGAGAACGGTAAAAGAGAAAACTAATGAACTGCTGCATCAATATATTCTTTGAAAATGAAGGGCAAAAACTGAAGACTGTTCATAAAAATATTGCTTCAGAGACAGTAAAAGCGCATACAGATATTAAGGGGTAAGCTGTGGTGTTTCTTTTTAAACGTGTATTACAATGAGTGGTAACTGCACACAGCAAATGTCCTATGCGTACTCATTGACCTTTGTGTTATAAAATATAGAAAAAGTGTATTTCACTTAGATGAAGATGTCCATTTGGGGGCATTTCAGATTCTATCAGAACGAGTGACCGCCATAGGATTTTAAACAAATTATGAGTAAAATTTTTACAAGTATTACTATCTGCCAAATGCTATTTACATACAAATTTACAAGTATGACAACCATTCTAAAAAAGACCTAACTGCACAACTTTCAAGAACCAAATCACGGCTTTTGCTAAATATATCTTCATCTATAACACAATATGGGTGGCAGAGGAGAACATTTATTTTCCCCATCTGCAAATAACAATGCAACCCATCAGTTATTAGATGCATCTGTAGCTGATATTATCATTACCATAGGAATATATACAACATTATTCAGTAACCATACATCTGTATCAACAATAATTCAACAAATTGCAAGCTTTGCTGCTGAATGCCAAGTAACTTACATTTAATTATGGAGCAATCTTTGCTACCACTGAAAATATACTTGTTGTCTGATGATATAACCATGCATGTGATGGCCAGCTGATGACCTCGCAATACACAGAGGTCATCACTAGAGGGTGCTGTGTACTCTGATGCAACAAGCTTCTGAAGTTTTCCACTCTGTTCCAACTTTGGTGTATTAAAAAGTCATGTGCATGAAAATGAAAGACGTAAGGGAAATGTTGATGAAAGAAATACAGTAAGATGACTTGAAAACTCTCCAGCATATTGTAAACTTGAATACTAGTAGGTTGGATACAAGAAATTGAATACAATATCCCTACCTGTCAATCAGGAAAAACAATTAGAACTCTATTTCCATTCTCTATTCCCTATTCTCCCTCAAAATATACAAGTTAATATTACATATCATCGATTCCAAGCCAAAAGGGTCAACTCCTCTACTTTATCACAGAGTTAAAACACTTCTGGCTCTTAACGGACGATATGTTACATAAGTCACATATTTTAACTTAATTCAACAATAATACATTTTGATAGGAGGCAGTTGAAGTATACCCATGTGGGTATCACTTCTACGTACATGCAGGTATTGCATTAAGGCCCGTTCACAGTGACACAGAAAATATAAACTAGTGAATGAATGGCAAGTGGAGATGATAGAAGGTAGCTGCGCACAACCAAGTCCTATGCATACTCACTTGTCTGTGTGTTTAGAAGATACAGAAATGTGAAGTGCATAACACTCTTTGAATTACCAAGCAACTTATGTGAATGCGCCTTAAGAAGTGAGGCTGACATCATGTACTCACCAGCTCTGACTTTAGCCTGTGTGCTATAGCATCCCTGTCTGGGGTGAGGGAATCTTCAACTTCCTTTTCTACAAAAGAAATAAAACAATCCTCAACTTTATTCCCACTTATCATTTGTCTAGGAGAAAACAAGTATGTTAATATCGGTGCTACTTATACAAGATTGGAATATATTCAACTTAGGATCTTTGTGAAACACCCCCTGGTCTACATGTACACTGATTGTTAATGGTTGAATTCTTACTATTTGTAATCCTCAAGACCTCAACCCACTGATATCATTCTTGACTATTATATTTCAATGATCAATATAAAATACACATCATGCGGTAGATAGCCAGTGTACTAGTGTACCAGGAGAGTGTTTCACAAAGATTAAGATAGACTTTAAGTTGTACTAACTATGGCAGGCCCTTCATGCCATTGTTTTCTCTCACCATTTACTAGCATTGGCCTCTCAAGGGACATACAAATCATGGTCACAAATCTACAGAATTTACATTTTTGATAGTGCATTATTGAAGGAAAAGATATTATCTAAAGATCATAACGGTCAGGGCAACCAGTGGCCTGAATGGCCTGCCATAGTTAAGTCCAATTTAAAGTCATCTTAGTCTTTGTGAAACACTCTCCAGTGTACAAGATGATATACCTTCTGCTTCTAACTGTGCCAGGTACTGCTTGGTGAGGCGAAGACGTTTCTCCTGGGCTGTCTCCTGCTCCTCCTCCTCATTCTCTGATGGAGCATCACTAGAACCACGCCCCTCATCATCATCAGGGCTTCAAGATAAGAAAGGGTAAAGCATCAAGGTAATGATGTTCAACTAAGGACTCTCCAAGTTTCGGAATATAAATAGAGGCTGCATACACATGGACTTGAAGATTTCAAAACAATCAGAAAAGTTTAAGTACCTAACCCTGTAACCGATAATCAAATATGGGGGGAGGGGGACCGCTGGCCGATCAGGTGAAGTCAGATGATCAATTCTGAGAAATTTGCTGATCAACGAAAAGGATTGGAAAAAATAAACAAATTATTTTAAAAAGCCGAAAATGTTCAAGTTTGGGGCTATCAAATACTTAAAAAACACTCAAAGCTGGGATTATTTTGTCATTTGGAGTTGTTGTAGACCTGTTGTAGACCTGTTGTAGACCATGTATGTTGATGTTAAGTGCCTTTTCATGACTTTGAAATTAATAATATTAGTCTAAGTCATATACACTTATACAGTAAAACTACCACTAAAAAACTTACAAATGAGGAAAAAAATAAATTCAATTCCACACTTGCCCTATTTGATTACTTGTCTAGTTTCCTACCGGGTACTCAGTTTTTAGCCAACTGGGTCACATATTATAGTTTCTTAGGATTGGAAGTGTGTTATTGACCACATTAATGTACAGAAATTTCATCATTTAATTGAACATCACTAGAGTACAATTTAACAAATATTACCCCAAAAAAACTCTGTTTAGATGACCTACCCATCAATGTCAGAATCACTCAGAATCTCTTCATCATCCAGCTTCTGGAGCTTCTTCTTCTTAGTTGGATTATTGCTATCCTTAGAGAAAACCTTAAAAAGAAAAGGAAAGGCAAATTAGTGAAGAATCTCTACCAGTGAATATCTCTTTCATTTTTTAGCTTAAAAAGGTCGCCAGTTGCGGAGTTGCCACACAAAATCTCTTTGCAGCCATCAGTCTGTCACGATAGACAGTCTCTCAATTAGGAAAGACTAATCTTTAATACTTATATAATATTGGATGCTTAATTTGGGCAAATTTTTGTGAGCATATATGGCCATAACGTTTGTAAAGGAGACCCTATGGTCGGCTTCTGTCTTTAGACTAAATGTTTACAGGCCTAGACCTAGACCGAAAGCTTCAGTCTCTATACCGTCGGTTGTTCCACTGAGACTACGTCTGGCTCCACTAGACCTCCGGTTATAGAGACAGAACGATCGCCTATGCCAGCCTATGTTGAAGATATCACGGCTAGATTTTAGCCGTTAGGCCCCTCCCACAAACATGAACAAACTTGCCACGGCCGTATTGTTATGCCCCCAAAATCCCCCAAAATGTCATTTTACCTCGTGCATGTCCAATTTTACATTAGGCCTAGGATATAATACATCGGTTCCACTTACTAACTTGATTGAAATAATCCGTTTAATGGTCCCTTTTAAGGAAATTATGGGTCAAAATCGACATCCATGTTGAAAATCTTGCAAGCCGTGTTAAACTCTTGCTGCCGTCAATCTCATCCCTTCTAGTCTACGCAGAAGGCAAAATGATTATGAAGGAAAAACTGTGATAACGCCATTACAAACGTGTAGATGGCGCACAGTTTTTCCTTCATAATCATTTTTGCCTTCGGCGTAGACTAGAAGGGATGAGATTGACGGCAGCAAGAGTTTAACATAGGCTGGCATAGGCGATCGTTCAGTCTCTATAACCGGAGGTCTAGTGGAGCCAGACGTAGTCTCAGTGGAACAACCGACGGTATAGAGACTGAAGCTTTCGGTCTAGCCTAGACCTACCTGCCTACACAATAGAATCTACAAATGTTAAGAATAAGAAAGAGGCTAACGAATGAAAGACTCAAAGAGACAAGAAAATGTTTGGTCTAGATCCAGGTCATGGCTGGTTTGTCTTAGTTTGAGACTTCTCATTTAAATGTGCTGGATTAAACGGTAGATCTACACCTACCGCAAAGACCAAGTCGGATAATTTGGAGCGAGGCGACCCATCCCCTAGCCCCATGCATTTCTCATATGCTACACCGGCCGCGCGCTGGCTGGGTACCGCACTGGCTGGCCGATGCAAAAAGCCGTGACATGAGAGTGAGACACGTGCTTGAGCTTCATACGTTTCTAAACATAACTAGTCTACATGAATTATCAATTATTTTTTTATATACTAGTAAAATAAGTACCTTTTTGGATTTACTTGCTGGTGCCCTTTTCCTTGCTCCTCGAATAAAGAAAGACATTTCAGTTTCACTGCAATGAGATGTTTACTCTCACACACACACACACACACACACAGCGCTTGCATGCCACATGCACATACAGCGTGGAAATCTAACCTGCTAGTTTCATTCTACAACAATTTGACGGTAGCTTTGACAAGTCGTCGCACTCACTGCGATATAGGCCTACCCAATATTTTTGTTTAATAACATTTTGAACAGATTCACTTCCCAGATAGTCTGATAATGATACAGTGATAAATGATTTAGGAACATTTCATGTTCGTGTATATTACCGCAGTTCATTCACTCGACTCATCTAGCTCATGCAGGTCGGGTTTTATATTAATGTAGAGCCTTTTCTAGGACTAGCGCCCAGTTTTTCTACAAGTGCCTGACTTAAATTCGTTTAAATTCATTAAAATCAGGATGGGGGCTTCAAGATTTTTTGAGGGGAGCTAATTGTTCCCTTAAAAACTTGACGCTGAACCAGTGGCGGATCCAGGGGGGCCCGGTATAAAAATATGTTCGTCTGACCGTAATCAATTGCCTAAAACCCCTGGACCCCACCTAGGGCCCTAAGGCGGACCCCTGGATGCTAATCTGATGGTAATTTCAATGCCTAAAACTCCTGAGCTTATGGGGGCTCCGTGGGCTAGACCTCACGCCAATCACAAATAAGGTATAAAAATATGTTCATCTGACCGTAATCAAAATGTCAAAAAGTCGCTCAGTGGGGGGGGGGGGGGGTGGGGTACAGAGCACATTTTTTTTTTTTTTTTTTTTTTTTTTTTTGCTCCCGAAAATTTGAAAAACGCGCCGGCCAAAAATTCGCTCAGTTGGGGGGGGGGGGGGGGGGGGGGGGGGGGGGGTAGTGAGCACATTTTTTTTTTTCGATCCTCAAAAAAAATTCAATTTGCACCCCCCCTTGAGCGCCAGGGGGGGGGCCCAACCCCAAAAAAAGGTAAAAATCACGTGATTTTACATGATTTTTTCCTCAAGGGGGGGGGGGGGCCGGGCCCCCCGGGCCCCCCCCCTGGATCTGCCACTGGGACAACATGCATGCGTTTTGTACTTTGAAGGCTTTTAAAACTATCGTTTGACATTTTAACCATATATATATATATTGAAAGACTTTTAGAATTCATTATTTATTTATTTTTTCCATTTTTTTCCTTTTTTTCAAAACATTTTAATAAAAAAAGTCTTTTTTTTGTGTGCGACTTTTTAATTACCGTTGTGAATTTCATGTTTACAATTTTTTTTGTTTTTGTGTGTGTGGAAAAATGTTTTTATCCTACTTGCAGTATTACAAGAAGTGGGTTATTGATGTATAGACAAATGCACATGTACCTTTACAGCTCATTTATTTTATCACCAAAGAAAACAAACTGGAAGTCTAATCAGTCACTCAATAGTATAGGAACTTTTAGATTTGCACGACAAGAACGTGGACTGCTCGTGTGACATCCTTTTAAGGCGATGTGCACGTCACTGCCAGTGAAAGGCCCAAGTCGCAGTCCGACACGTTCTCGTCGTGCAAATCTAAAAGTCCCTAGTGTCTGACACTGAAGTCTAGAAAGTAAACGGGTCTCCTTGCATAATTTGAATAATAGAACACTGCAAACGTTTAAATTTCACAGATAGGACATACATGACATATTCATAATTCCTGCAAAGTTCTACAGAATTTGATGTTGGCTGCATCATAGTACCTTTAAAGTGGATTTACAGCATGTCTATGTGTGGTTTATTTTTAAAATATTTGATGTTTGTATATTAATGAAAATAAACAAGGTATACTAACAATGTGTATCAGATGTTTATACACGCATTTATTAAGTTAATAAACTGGAAATACACCAGTTGAACCAACACAAGTGAATTAAGTGTTCGTAAAAATGTTAACATAAAGGATCTTGCAAGTAATGAATAATTTGATTAGATTTGATTTGATTTTCTTCTGCATTCATCTAAGTATACAATTTTCCGATAAAGTACAATAAGTATTTTTCTGACAATGAATCGTAAGTAAGCAAATACATTTTACATAAATCGTTTTCAAAAAACAAAATGATAAACTGTCATAAATAATTTACCCAAACATTATAAACATACAATTATTTGCGGAAGAAGGACTGTCATTGTAAGCAAATTGCTTGATAATACGACAGCCTTAGACAAAAAACTGAAATAGATTAACACATTTATTAACCAGAAAAGGAAGGTACTTGAAAATACAAATTTTGATGATATTGACAATGTAGATGAGGATGATGATGATGCTGATGAATATGATCGGATGATGACGATGATGATAATGATTCGAATGAAAGAAGGGATGAAATTATGATAAAGACTGATGAGTTGGCACAGAAATGTTACCTTGAATATTCTGATATGAGTAGAGGGAGCAACATATAATGGAAACAGTTGCCTCATTATGAGCTGAAAAAAATTGATGGGAAACTCGCAATCAAGTTTCATTGGCCTACAGGGTAGGCACTATTTAGTTAAAATGTCATACTTTTAAAAGCCTTCACATTATAAAACGGATTGTGTCTAATTATTTCAATATGGTGCGGATTAACCCCGTATATGCCGGTTTATAAGTTTTGAAACAGTACCCAGATAAATTGCTTTGGCATGTGACATAATAATGGGAATAAAGAGTATCTCACCTTTAATAGGGTGCAAGGCTTTATTTAGTTAAAATGTCATACGATAGTTTGCGGCCTTCAAATTATAAAACGTATTTTGTCCAAATTTCCTTTGTAGCCTATAGTGCGGATAAACCTGCCCTATATGTCGGTTTGAGCTCTAGATTTCATCCTAAACAGTAAGACAAAGAAAAATTGCTTCAGAATATGACATATAAAAATTATGATAGAGTAAGATCTCACCTTCAAGGGTGTTAGGCATTATTTATTATTATTTCTTTTTGAAGACACCATAGCGCAATTTCTATTGTTTGATAGGCTAACTTCGCGGTTATTGGTCGCCAAAAGTAGTGCAGTACGTACAGGTACTAGGACTGTCTATAGCAGTAGTTGCAGTTGTCAACAAACGACTGTAGAGTCTAGATGCACATGATGCATGGCGTCATTTTCGAAATTGTAAATGATTGAAGATCTGAGAGTGCGAGTTAACTGTTGCCGAGTAGATTAGGCCTACACCATTAAAGAGGAGCTCATGTAAGATTTTTATTCAGTATGTACATAGATTATATTCCTAAGTTACTTTATCTAAGGTATTGTTCAGAAGATATTAATTATCATGATTATGAATTGCAAACCTCCCATCGAGCCATGATGTACTGATCCAGCAAAGTCTAGAGTCGTAGTAGAGAGCCTTGCTGGAGTGGTAGTGTAGGGTATTATTATTATAGGTCTAGACTAGGCCTACTGGAATGTATTTTTATTGTAATTTAGGACTTCAAGTTAAATAACAATTTGAACAAATATCAGAAGGGGCAGTGACCAGTGTTCCGAGAATAAGGATCGTCCGCATAAACAAAGACCGCCATTGTAAATGTTATGGGAAATTATGGGTATACGGGCCGCACGCATGTGCGTACGTCGGGTTGCTTTGCCTGGTCGCACGTACGTACATGCGAGCTTGTATATAAAGGGCTTTTAGCCCGCTGCCCGGGGCAGAATTACCAGTAACCAGATAACAGAAGTATAGACTACGCATCGGAGTGCACTACAAGCAACGGAGATCATCACAGCAACCAGCAAAGGACAGCATCGACGGATTCTGACATATAGTGACGACTCTGGTGAGTAGATTTTACTTTAGTGGCGCTGCGAGTCTTCACTCGTTCCTGCGCAATTAAATTGAGCGAGTTTATCGTTGCGCTTGATATTATTGTGCAACTTGTATTTGTAGTCGTAAGTTTGTAGTTGACATGTGCGTGCCGTATTTTGGCTTGTACATGTGTACGGCGTAATCACGGACAAGTTCGTGGATCCGCCGAGCTAGTATAACAGGTTAGTATTATTGCTTGTTATTTTTGCTTTTGATTGATTGGAGGTTATATTTTTAGGTTTTTTCCGTAGAGTAGTAGTTTAGGACCCGTTTTCTTAGCGATTTTTGTATTATTGGGTGTGGCAAGGGACGCCACGTCGGCACGCCCTAGACGCTATTTTTGCATTCCTTCTATTGTGTACCGCACCCCATACCCTATGGTACCTTATTGTTATACTGGGTTGGAGTTTTTCGGGTGCGTACCTTGTATGAGTGATTGTTTGAGGCTGGGTTTATCCCTTCATTTACCTTAGCTTTGGCGTATTATCTTTGATATTTTTGATTGTTTGGGAGTGAAAGTACTATTTGCTTGGTGTGATTTGGGGTTCATTCACCTCTTATTGAAATTGTTTTTTCCACCCAATTTCGGAATGCCGATTTTTTGTGAGTGGGGAGGGAGAGTGAACCACAGTGGTTATTGCATTGCTGCTGGAATTAAATCTTCGCTAATTTAATTGATCATCGCTAATTTGATTAATCATTTTTGAATTAGAGTTGCTCTCCTACAATTAATTAATCATTTTTGAATTAGAGTTGCTCTCCTACAATTAATTAATCATTTTTGAATTAGAGTTGCCCTCTTACAATTAATCAGATTGGAAGCAGAGTTGCCCTCTTACAATTTTAAGTAACGGGCTTCTCGCTCCGAATGATTTATTGGGTTCAATGATTGTAGGCAAGGGCATATAATTAAATATACTGTTAGGGTTTATATTTTATAAATCGTAGTTAAGTTACTGTAGTGAATACAAATATATATTTAAAAATACAAGTTTATCAAGCTGTTGAATTAGGTCTGGATGTTAACCGTGACATAGTGACCTAATCAACGGCTGTGAATATTGTGTTTGAATATATCGTATTTAAATTTATTGATAGGAAATTAATTTATTTATTAATCGTAGTGTAAGTTACTCCGCCAAAGATATATTGCGGGGACATACAAATATTTCTAAAGAATACAAATTCATGTGAGCGGTTGAATTTAGTCTGAGTGTCCACAACCAGGGACATATAGGGACTTTATCAGCGGCC